GGATATGGTAAAATATAGCGTAAATTTGAATGACAGCAAGTTAGAGAAAAAGATGAATACCAATGAATCATTTATTTCTTTCTGCCCTGTAAAAGATGCTCATTCACATACAGTAAAAACCAGCGTGTAAGAACCTAGTGGTTTAACAACCTGCTGGCAAAAATTTTCCATTTTAATACCCAGAAATGTATAACAACCTATTCATCCAAGTGAGATCAAGCAGGTTGTTAAATTTGGATTCCAGTTAAATTGTGATAAACATTTTAACCAAGGAGTGACTTTGAGATTTCAAATTTATATTCCTAGAAAATACATAATACAGTTGTGAATAATGACTGTATATTCAAGGACCAAACCCAAGTTTATTTATTTTTCTGGTAATCAACAACTATATCTCCTTCAGAAAAATTGAGAGCTTAATTATGAACCTACTTAGCCTAAATTGCCAATAACTAAGCCAAAATGCAAGAACCCGTTTTGCCAGACTTCAAAAATTGTAGGTTCTTACATGTGGTTTTTTAGTGTAACACAATTAATCGCAACCGCAAAATTCTCGATAGAGGAGCACGGAGGGTGTAATGTTTGATCGTACATGCGACAGTCAGCCTAAGCACAGACGCCTTATTTAGATAAATATGGAATAACTTGATTAAGAACTTTGCAGTATAAATTAGTAAGAACCCAGGCAACATCGCCTGGTAAGAACCCTTTTTTAATCCATGTCTTGGTAGAAATCATTTGTGTAATGTGTTGATCTTTAATAGACTTATTTTTCCAAGAAATAAATCAAGTAATAATTTGCTAGCCTAATAATATTTCGACCAGAGTGATATCAAAGTCAGTAAACGTGACTTGAAGATGTATTGGATACATGCGAAATTTCCTGTCTGTAAGACAAATTCTGTTTGCAGGAACTCAGCCTTAAAAGCTACCGCTTATCAAACGTTTTGAACGTGATACTTTTAAGACTTAATTTAAGGTAAAACCCATTATCAACATTAACGACATCTGCAATGATGGACCACGTACGGCCCTCTCTCGATATTGGTTTGCAAGATTTTGCAGCCTCAGTTCCACGCAGTCTCGTTTTGAGCTCGTCAGCGTAGGAGAAAAGCTTTTCAGGGAACAGAATCGCTAAGTCTGAGCATTACAGAAGGAGAAAGGGAAAACGAAAACGTTCCCCTTCAGAGAAGTTTGTCGTAAAAACCCGTTATCAACGTAATGACATGTAACAAACCTCAAGGATTGAAAATAATTGAAATAACAGCGTGAGCCCATCTGAACTTTTCAGCTTACGGGTTAAATTAACTGAAATCGTTCAACTGTTCTACTTAAGAACTGGCCGATCTCGAGGATTGAAAATAATTGAAATAACACCATGAACCCGTCTGAACTTTTCAGCTTATGGGGTTAAATTCAGTGAACTCGTGTAACTGTTCCATTTATGATAGTACATTTAATTGTTTGCTCTTTTACGTTTTTTGTTAGTAAGTGCGCACTTAGTATTATTTATGCAACGAGTTGTACAATACATTGAGCATAACAATATTAAGTAATAATGGGCCTTTTCGGCGATATGGAGGCCGTTTTCAATTTTGTTTCAAATAGCTATTATGGGAATCTCAGAGGGCAAATACAAACTAATTTGCCCCCTGACCATCTCATAGTAGCTATTTGAATTCAAAATGGCCGCCGTATCGCCGAAAAAGGTCCATTATCACCTAACCTACAGCCTGCAATGCCGGCGTATTTTGGCGCGCGAGCGCACGCATTTTGATAGGGCGAGCACAATATTGAATTCAAACTCACAAAAGACGAAATGAGGTCCTAGGGAGTAGGGGTGAGGCTAAAAGAGGAGTAACGGGGGAAGAGGAGGAGAAGGAAATTTTTCTTCCTTTCGTCCCCACCCCTCCCCGCTCACTTTTCCTGAGACAACATGGTGGAGAATCTACTTGATAGCGAGCTAATACCGATAACTCGTGAACACACGGAAAACGCCTGCACTGCAAGCTACCTAACCTATATTGGCCTCTGTTAGGTATTCATCAAAAACCCATCCTTGGTGACCCA